GTATGTATTAATTTGTATGATACAACACGTGTGTGTGTGTCCCGGACTGTCACCGGCATAGTGGGGCTTGAGAGGTAGGGAGAGTTAGGTGTCGTCGTTGTCTGATGCTAGAGTCACCTCTTGTTGTCATGTCACCTCTTGTTGTCATGTTACTCTTGTTGTCATGTCACCTCTTGTTGTCATGTTACTTTTGGTGTCATGTTACTCTTGTTGTCATGTCACCTCTTGTTGTCATGTTACTCTTGTTGTCATGTTACTCTTGTTGTCATGTCGCCTCTTGTTGTCATGTTACTTGTTGGTGTCATGTCACCTCTTGGTGTCATGTCACCTCTTGTTGTCATGTCGCCTCTTGTTGTCATGTCACCTCTTGTTGTCATGTCACCTCTTGTTGTCATGTCGCCTCTTGTTGTCATGTCGCCTCTTGTTGTCATGTCGCCTCTTGTTGTTATGTCGCCTCTTGTTGTCATGTCGCCTCTTGTTGAAATGTCACCTCTTGTTGACATGTCACCTCTTGTCATGTCACCTCTTGTCATGTCACCTCTTGTTGTCATGTCACCTCTTGTTGTCATGTCGCCTCTTGTTGAAATGTCACCTCTTGTTGACATGTCACCTCTTGTCATGTCACCTCTTGTCATGTCACCTCTTGTTGTCATGTCACCTCTTGTTGTCATGTCGCCTCTTGTTGTCATGTCACCTCTTGTTGTCATGTCGCCTCTTGTTGTCATGTCGCCTCTTGTTGTCATGTCACCTCTTGTTGTCATGTCGCCTCTTGTTGTCATGTCGCCTCTTGTTGTCATGTCGCCTCTTGTTGTCATGTCACCTCTTGTTGTCATGTTACTCTTGTTGTCATGTCACTCTTGTTGTCATGTCACCTCTTGTTGTCATGTCACTCTTGTTGTCATGTCGCCTCTTCTTGTCATGTCACCTCTTGTTGTCATGTCACCTCTTGTCATGTCACCTCTTGTTGTCATGTCACCTCTTGTTGTCATGTCGCCTCTTCTTGTCATGTCACCTCTTGTTGTCATGTCGCCTCTTGTTGTCATGTCGCCTCTTGTTGTCATGTCACCTCTTGTCATGTCACCTCTTGTTGTCATGTCACCTCTTGTTGTCATGTCACCTCTTGTTGTCATGTCACTCTTGTTGTCATGTCACTCTTGTTGTCATGTCGCCTCTTGTTGTCATGTCACCTCTTGTTGTCATGTTACTCTTGTTGTCATGTTACTCTTGTTGTCATGTTACTCTTGTTGTCATGTCACCTCTTGTTGTCATGTCACCTCTTGTTGTCATGTTACTCTTGTTGTCATGTTACTCTTGTTGTCATGTCACCTCTTGTTGTCATGTTACTCTTGTTGTCATGTCACCTCTTGTTGTCATGTTACTCTTGTTGTCATGTCACCTCTTGTTGTCATGTCACCTCTTGTTGTCATGTCACCTCTTGTTGTCATGTTACTCTTGTTGTCATGTCACCTCTTGTTGTCATGTTACTCTTGTTGTCATGTCATGTTGTCACACCTCTTGTTGTCATGTTACTTGTTGGTGTCATGTCACCTCTTGTTGTCATGTTACTCTTGTTGTCATGTCACCTCTTGTTGTCATGTCACCTCTTGTTGTCATGTCACCTCTTGTTGTCATGTCACCTCTTGTTGTCATGTTACTCTTGTTGTCATGTTACTCTTGTTGTCATGTGTCATGTCACCTCTTGTTGTCATGTCGCCTCTTGTTGTCATGTCACCTCTTGTTGTCATGTCGCCTCTTGTTGTCATGTCGCCTCTTGTTGTCATGTCACCTCTTGTTGTCATGTCGCCTCTTGTTGTCATGTCACCTCTTGTTGTCATGTCACCTCTTGTTGTCATGTCGCCTCTTGTTGTCATGTCACCTCTTGTTGTCATGTTACTCTTGTTGTCATGTCACCTCTTGTTGTCATGTCGCCTCTTGTTGTCATGTCGCCTCTTGTTGTCATGTCGCCTCTTGTTGTCATGTCACCTCTTGTTGTCATGTCACCTCTTGTTGTCATGTCAACTCTTGTTGTCATGTGTCCTCTTGTTGAAATGTCACCTCTTGTTGTCATGTCACCTCTTGTTGTCATGTCATGTCCTCTTGTTGTCATGTCACCTCTTGTTGTCATGTCACACTCTTGTTGTCATGTCAACTCTTGTTGTCATGTTACTCTTGTTGTCACGCCTCTTGTTGTCATGTCGCCTCTTGTTGTCATGTCACCTCTTGTTGAAATGTCACCTGTTGTCATGTCACCTCTTGTTGAAATGTCACCTCTTGTTGTCATGTCACCTCTTGTTGTCATGTTGTCATGTCACCTCTTGTTGTCATGTTGTCACCTCTTGTTGTCATGTCACCTCTTGTTGTCATGTTACTCTTGTTGTCATGTCACCTCTTGTTGTCATGTCACCTCTTGGTGTCATGTTACTTCTCATGTTGTCATGTCACCTCTTGTTGTCATGTTGTCATGTCACCTCTTGTTGTCATGTTGTCATGTCACCTCTTGTTGTCATGTTGTCACACCTCTTGTTGTCATGTCACCTCTTGTTGTCATGTTACTCTTGTTGTCATGTCACCTCTTGTTGTCATGTCACCTCTTGTTGTCATGTCACCTCTTGTTGTCATGTTACTCTTGTTGTCATGTCACCTCTTGTTGTCATGTCACCTCTTGTTGTCATGTTACTCTTGTTGTCATGTCACCTCTTGTTGTCATGTTACTCTTGTTGTCATGTTACTCTTGTTGTCATGTCACCTCTTGTTGTCATGTCACCTCTTGTTGTCATGTCACCTCTTGTTGTCATGTCACCTCTTGTTGTCATGTCACCTCTTGTTGTCATGTCACCTCTTGTTGTCATGTCACCTCTTGTTGTCATGTCACCTCTTGTTGTCATGTCACCTCTTGTTGTCATGTCACCTCTTGTTGTCATGTCACCTCTTGTTGTCATGTCACCTCTTGTTGTCATGTCACCTCTTGTTGTCATGTCACCTCTTGTTGTCATGTCACCTCTTGTTGTCATGTCACCTCTTGTTGTCATGTCACCTCTTGTTGTCTTGTTGTCATGTCACCTCTTGTTGTCATGTCACCTCTTGTTGTCATGTCACCTCTTGTTGTCATGTCACCTTGTTGTTGTCATTGTCACCTCTTGTTGTCATGTCACCTCTTGTTGTCATGTCACCTCTTGTTGTCATGTCACCTCTTGTTGTCATGTCACCTCTTGTTGTCATGTCACCTCTTGTTGTCATGTCACCTCTTGTTGTCATGTCACCTCTTGTTGTCATGTCACCTCTTGTTGTCATGTCACCTCTTGTTGTCATGTCACCTCTTGTTGTCATGTCACCTCTTGTTGTCATGTCACCTCTTGTTGTCATGTCACCTTTTGTCATGTTATGTCACCTCTTGTTGTCATGTCACCTCACCTCTTGTTGTCATGTCACCTCTTGTTGTCATGTTGTCATGTCACCTCTTGTTGTCATGTCACCTCTTGTTGTCATGTCACCTCTTGTTGTCATGTCACCTCTTGTTGTCATGTCACCTCTTGTTGTTATGTCACCTCTTGTTGTCATGTTACTCTTGTTGTTATGTCACCTCTTGTTGTCATGTCACCTCTTGTTGTTGTCATGTTGTTATGTCACCTCTTGTTGTCATGTCACCTCTTGTTGTCATGTCACCTCTTGTTGTCATGTTACTCTCTTGTTGTCATCTTGTCATGTTACCTTGTTGTCATGTGTTATGTCACCTCTTGTTGTCATGTCACCTCTTGTTGTCATGTCACCTCTTGTTGTCATGTCACCTCTTGTTGTCATGTTGCCTCTTGTTGTCATGTCACCTCTTGTTGTCATGTTGTCATGTCACCTCTTGTAATCCAGCCCAGCCTCCTGCTTTGGTCGTACTTGTAGTAACAGCGAGGACCATAGTACATATAGCGACTTACAACACAATTAGAAAGTACAAATCGGCACTATTGAATATGGACAAACCGGAAAAGATTTTATATTTATGTTGCAAAGACAAACTAACCTAACCTAACCTTCCTAGGCCTAATGCATGCTCTCTGAGGCCTAACATAGTACATATGTGTACTATACTAGGTCTAGGAATATTTAAGTTTGTTTTTTAGCTTCGTTTTTTTCGGACTATACGGTGAATAGTACAAAGTTCAACTGTCTTATTGCTTAGTACGTCAGTATTGGTACTATGGTGTACATAGTTACGATAAATGCTATCTAAACAGGAAGTTGGGTTGTAATATCATGTCACCTCTTATTGTCATGTCAAGTTTTATCAAGTAACATTTTTTGACGTCACCTCTTAGTCATGTCACCTCTTAGTCATGTCACCCACATATATCGTTAGTCATGTCACCCACATATATCGTTAGTCATGTCACCTACATATATCGTTAGTCATGTCATCCACATATATCGTTAGTCATGTCATCCACATATATCGTTAGTCATGTCACCCACATATATCGTTAGTCATGTCATCCACATATATCGTTAGTCATGTCATCCACATATATCGTTAATCATGTCATCCACATATATCGTTAGTCATGTCATCCACATATATCGTTAGTCATGTCACCCACATATATCGTTAGTCATGTCATCCACATATATCGTTAGTCATGTCACCCACATATATCGTTAGTCATGTCACCCACATATATCGTTAGTCATGTCATCCACATATATCGTTAGTCATGTCATCCACATATATCGTTAGTCATGTCACCCACATATATGGTTCAGGCTTCAATATAATAGCCCTCAGTCTTTTCTTAAAAAGACTAGTTAAACTCCTTGTAATTTCTGTCTTAGCTTTACAAAGAAGGCAATGTGTGGATTTGAATAAGTTCAGCATTTCATAATAAGTAAAAATCACCATTAATGAGGTAGTTAAATTAGTAGAACAAATGAATATCAATGTAGCATTTAGTTATCTTTATTACGCAATAACACACATTAAATCGACTTGAGAATGGTCCAGGACGGACCGAAAC